AGTGGGAGATTTACTTCAGAGATTTATGGTACTTTTCTAGTAAAGCAACGAGACGCTGATCACGAGCACGATCATCCAATACCTAACCAAACCAAAGAGCTTGTGAGATGTGACCAACAGACGAAAACACTAAACTGCCTGGGAATTATCAGACAAGCCTATGGAAAACATACCTCGATGATTTGCATAACATCGTGGTTGGCAGCTAGGTCTACGGAACCTATGACTACCTGAAAGAAATTTAAATGATCGTTGATAAATTGAAGCATCTTGCAGGTGAGAAAGATAAATTGAAAAGGAAAACATACCTTGACTGGGTTTGGATCCATGAATTCCTCGGCCAATTTGTGAACATCCAAAGGCCAAGTTGCACTGAACATAACCATCTGACGAACTATAAGANAGAAAAAAAAAAAGAAGAGTCTTCATTAAAATTTGGCCCGGGAATAAAACAAGATCCATGACTCGGTTCCTAATAAGGTGAGAATGATAGGTGAAATGTGATACTACCACTTGCCTCTATTCGTCTTGCTCAATATAAACCGGACTGGTTCCTCGAAACCCATATCAAGCATTCGATCTGCTTCATCCAATACCTGACATATAGAAACTTATGTTACTGTCTAATACCTCAAAAATTCGATTCGGGTTATTTCATTATAGCAACAGATACAACTTATATGATCCTAAGGGGCTAACTCAAATAACATGATTAAAAAGACATTCTGTTGCTTACCACAAAGGAAACATCCGAGAGACGAAGCTCGTTAGACTCAATCAGGTCTCTCAAACGACCTGGCGTACCAATGACAATATCCTAAACACACAAGATAAACAAACAAAACTCGTCATTTCATCAATCCGCCACCAACACAAAAGACAGTGTCCTGATAAAATGACACGATAAAAAAAAACTCTTACCACTCCAGATCGAAGTGCATTAATCTGAGGCCTTTTAGAGGTTCCACCATAAACACAAATCGATTTCAAACCACAAGGCTCACCAGCTTCACTCAAAACATCAGAAATCTGCCAAAATCACCAAAACAAACACACAAAACTAAGACAAACTCTTCCACATTGAAGCTACAAATGATCAAAAGCAGGTTACATACCTGAACAGCTAACTCTCTAGTCGGAGAAAGAACAAGACAAGTAGGATTAACACTTTTAGATCCTTTACCAATCTTCTTATTCTTCTTCAACACATGCATAATCGCAGGTATCCCAAAAGCCAATGTCTTACCTAAAAAACACCCCAAATCATTAAAGTTTCGACTTTTATAACCAAAATCAAAACTTTCACTCTGAAATTTTACTAACCTGACCCAGTTTTAGCAATCCCTATAAGATCACGACCATCTAACAAAAACGGCCATGTATGTGACTGAATCGGAGATGGTTTCTGAAAAGTCTTACAACAATCCAAAACATTCTCAGGCAAATTCGATTCAGCAAACGATTTCAAAGCTGCGTACTTTGATTCTTCCACATCTTTCCCTGTCACGACAACTTTTTGTTCACTTTCTCCTCCTCCAGTTTCATTACTCAAACCTAAATCCTCAGATTTCGGTTTCTTCTCCGACACATCATCGGCGAT